AAGATCTGAGGCAAAAGCGCGTGTAATCATAGATATCAATATGTGACCCAATCCCTCCCCTTGGTAACCCCCTCCCATAGTCCAATCCGCACACCCCACAGGTGTCATGTGGGAGACATCTTCAAAAAGCATCATCAGGGTGGTATGCCGCACAATTGGCCTTGGCGGCAACTCCTCTATCTGCAACATGCGCAGTAGGTGGTGAGAACAACTCCCTTTTCACAGTCACTCCTGCACTGATACTTCCCCACTCAAATACCATGCCCCCCCTCCGCGTTTCAATGGCAGCCGAAAGCAAGCAGCAAAACCGAGGCTGACAACGAGCTACCCCATTTACACAATTAATTGTTCCCCACCTGCATGTAGCAACCATTCTTTCTTAATAAATACAAAGACTATGTTCCGGTACTGGTACATAGAAATACTGAAATGCACACAATCCATCTTTCCATCCAGTAAAAGTAGCAAATAACTAAGGCAGGATAGAGCTCTTGGTAAGTGAAAGTGTAAACTGCGTTGGGATATGAAACGAAGACAAAGGAACATAACTTGAGTGGAGAGGAGTCAAAAGTGGAGAAGTTGAATAAGGAAGAACAAAAGGCAAGGGAGAAGCCCCATTTAGGCAAAAACATTGAACAAGAGCCACTCCCGAACACTATCTAATCCTCACCGTAATTTGCTCTGCGCAGCATTCTTCCATTTTCATTAGTTGCTTCTCTTTTCACATCTGTTTCCTCAATTTATAAGAAGTTATTTGAGGAGAAAATTAATCTTCCTGTTTCGTTTATTACATATTGACACAGATTTATAGAAACTCATCGAGCATTCTGCTTGAACTGGTCTTCGGCCATAATGAATTGAACCAGAGGTCAACCAGCTGTGTATTTTTTTCTTTATTAAATTTATATTCCACCCATATCACTGTCCATAGTGGCTCTGTTGAAGTGACAAGGTTTACCAGCCATCTTTTTATTTTAAAACATACATTTTAGCCTATAATCTTGCTCTTGGTTCTTAACTGCGGTGATTTTTAATTATTTATGTTTTGGAGCTTTGTGCTAAAACGATATTCAATATTTGTCTTGCAGAAATATATTTCTCCTAATGCTGCTATTTTTCATGGAAGCGAGGAGGCCACGTTAAACAACATGAGAGTTTATGGGACGTGCATTGTTGCTCTGATGGCGATAGTTGTTTTTGTGGGAGTCAAATATGTCAATAAGCTTGCATTAGTCTTCTTGGCTTGTGTTATCCTTTCAATTATGGCTATTTATGCAGGGGTTATTAAAACTGCATTTCAGCCTCCGGACTTTCCGTAAGTGCATGAACTATGGTACATTTAAACATCAATGATAGTTATAATATTTTAATCTCGCTAAAAGGTAAAATAAAAAATATATATGCAGTAGCCAATATTGCTAGGGATGTTTGCATTAAATCAGCTCAAGCCCTTGAAACATGTCAAAAAGTCATCCTAGGTCAGTTATGGCTAAGCTTTTCGGTGCCGAGGGCCCAAAGTGTGCATGCATGTGAAACCCCAAAATGCAATGCGCATGCACCCCGCCCCTGCAAATGCAACCTTGTGCATGTGCCCTTCCCCCTGTGTATGCAACCCCCACACGTGCACGGGCGTCCCCTGTGCATGTCGTCCCCCCTCGTGCATTTTTGGCTTCTAGGTTGGTGCAGAAGCCTTTCCCCGCCCAAAATCGGGAGTGGGGGGCGCACATGGCTCCCCGCACGCAGTTTTGGCTTACAGGTTGGTGTAGGAGGCCTTCCAGGCCCAAAATGGGGCGTGGGGGCATGCGCACATGTGTGAACCCCCCCAAAATGCAATGCGAGCACACCTCACACATGCACCCCACCCCCCATGCATGCGTATGCACATCCCCAGCATTCCTCCCATCTCTTGCGCATCCGTGGCAGGGACCTGAAGACCAGCTGGCTGGTGGGAGGTGCATGCATGGTGAAGCTGGGCTGGGGTGACAGCTAGTGTACCCACAGAGAGGGCTCAGATTCAGCATCGCAGTCCTAGGTTTTGTGAAATGATTCCACTCAGGGTTGGATGGGAGAGAACATTGTTGCAATAGAGTTTTAAAGCCTGATGTTCATGTTTTGTGACGCTTCAGATCTTTGAACCACTAATTGAGCAGATTTTAGCCTGCATAATAGTAATTAATTAAATTGTTGTGATCTGAGCTTTCACAAAGACACACCAAGAAATGTGACTGGGTTTTTTAGAACAGCCATCTTTGTAAAAGGTATTTCAATGAAGCTCTTGTAATTGCTTGCCTATCTGTGGTAAAGCCTCACATTTCAGTTTTTTAAAATTATTTTGAATTTACCTTAAATCCACATGTACTATATCTTTGTTTTGGATAGATTCTACAAAACAATGCAGAGCATTCATTAGTCATCTTCTGCGTTCTTTTGAACGCACAGAATTTTTAAATTGAATAGAGCATAGAATACACACATTGTTACCTCAACTGGCTTTAGGATAAAATGGTTATATTTCCATTTGCTTGAATATGAGCATATCTGTGGGATCTGGGACCTTACTTTATTAAGATCCCAGTTCACATAGAGACGGATATTTGCTTCTGATTCTGGAAATATATCTGTTCTTCCGATGTCCTAGATACATATCTAGGGACATTTGGGAACTATGGCTTGTGAAACCCCATTCTGTATCCAGCTTTACCCATTCTGTACCCAGCCTTTCCCATGTTCAGGTAAACGCTCAGAGAGAAGCCAGTGTTTCTCTTGTGGCTGTCAACATTTTAATTTCTATTGCAATTCCTCTAAGCATATGATTGTGCCACCCACACTGAGGAACTTTCTCAATCTACTTCCTAATCTCTTATGTTCTTCACAGATTGTAAATGATCTTCAATCCTTTATACATTTCAGTTTGTGGAAGAGTTGTTCCCTTACTACCTGATACTTTGCTATCTAAATAATAACCCACATAATAGACAATTACATTGGGAAGAGATCAACATATCTGTGCGTGCACACTCATATAGACAACCAGAAAAAGCTTTCAAAGCAGCCACAAGGGTCTTACACTACACTAGCCTTGTACACAATGCTGTTGCTTTAGTGATTCCAAAGAGGTGCACCATACTTACATCGAAATTTTAAGAAAGACCTCTTTTGAAACCTTTGTTCAACCCAAATAAAGAAATGCGAACACTTGTATGCGTGCACATTCAAATCAATGCTGGCTCCTGGCAACTGTCTAGACTACTGAAGAGCCGAGGTGGCGCAGTGGTTAGGGTGCAGTACTGCAGGCCACTTCAGCTGACTGTTATCTGCAGTTCAGCGGTTCAAATCTCACCGGGGGGCGATATGCTGACTCTGTAAACCGCTTAGAGAGGGCTGAAAGCCCTATGAAGC